GCCCACAGCTCTCCAAAAGCATCGAAAGCAAGGCCACGTATTGTTCATATGTAAAGTTTATTAAAAGGTAAAATGGAAGGATACACATCACATTTATCATAACAATTGCCCCTGGGAGGGAAGATGAAACTGAGGAGAACAAAAAGGACTTTAACTTGATCAGCAATGTTCAAGTACAGTATAAAGTTCTACCTGCTCTTTTAGCATTCAGTGTGATAACCATGATATACATAGTTTTTTAAATTAAAAATGTATCTGAGACAAAAGTGAAAAAATGTTAACATTTGTATGAGTATACGTGTGCTTACTACTTTTTTGTAATTTTCTGTATTTTTAAAGCTTTTCAAAATTGTATCATCTATAAAATATAAAAGTAAAAATAAAAATAAATTTAAGAAATTTCCAATCTCCCGATTTCAGCTTTTATTTGGAAATGAAAATAGCTAACCTGTGAGTTTATGTGTGTATGTACATGGAAAATGCATTTTTATATGGGTCCAAAGAGATACTAAAAGTATAGTAGAAACAGTATCTCTTACTATACATTTTGATGACTCACTATTCTTGGTGAAAATAAAGTACAGCACCAGCAGAAAAACTCCCTTGATATCTCTCCACCTTTTTTCTTGATAGTTTGTCTCTTCTCCCTATTGGTTTCTACTTGTTTGTGCTTTTTAAAAGAAGGAAACAAGGAGGCACCAAGAAATTAATCACACACTTTAAAAATAACAATAACAGCAGCTCTTCCGAATATAAGATTCTCCAACATACAATCAAGTAATGTTCTAAAACTTTATTTGTAAATTGGTTGTTTGGACCTCAAAACATATTTTCCCATACAGAAAGTTAAACGAGGATATAAGCACCAGCAAAAAAGATACTGGCTGAGGTGCCAGGCCACGAGCAGTGAAACAGGAAAAGCAAAGTACACAGTATGCACTGATGGCCCAAGAAAAAAAGAAAGGGTTCTCAACCAGAGTTTGAGGACAGAAATCATGTTTCATTTACCTCTGTATCTTCAGTGACTAGCAAAATACCTGGCACCTCACAAACATTCAAAAACTGCTATCTACTGACTGATGGGGTAAAGAGGAAAAGACTGAGTCAAGCAGTCCATCAGTAGGTGGCACTATCAATATAAAACAGTTTGGGTGTGAGATCCAAATAGAAAAGAGGTTGAGAGTAACTGTGTGCATTAGATTATTTATTTATTTATTTATTTATCTGACAGAGAAGACAGCAAGAGAGGGAACACAAGCAGGGGGAGTTGGAGAGAGAGAAGCAGGCTTCCCGCCAAGCATGGAGCCCGATGTGGGGCTCGATCCCAGGACCCTGAGATCAGGACGTGAGCCCAAGGCAGTCGCTTAACCAACTGAGCCACCCAGGCGCCCCAACAATGTGCATTAATAGAATCATCTACATATGTAAAACCACTACCAGGTTGGTGCTGGTAACCAGAAGAGTGCCTTCACCTAAATTACTAGCTCCTTCCATTACTGCGTACTGCATAAGCACCATACTTTGAGTTAGTTTTCTAATAATCATAAAATAGTCTCCCTATTGGAGCAGTGGTTTTGTGGGATTTTCAGGATTTTCTCCTATGACCCTTGAAAACATTTTAATGTCACTCTTGTCATTATTACAGTAATACTATTCAGAAGATAGAACAAAGTATAAATACTAAAATAAAAATGACCTCTAATCCCATCATACAGACACCTTTTAATATCTTATTAAAATATTTATTTCCGAGGTGCCTGGGTGGCTCAGTCGGTTGAACGTCTGTCTTCAGCTCAGGTCATGATCTCAGGGTCCTGGGATGGAGCCCCGTGTTGGGCTCCCTGCTCAGCAGGGAGTCTGCCTCTTCCTCTCCATCTGCCTCTCCCCCAGCTATGCTTTCTCTCACTCTCTCTCAAATAAATAAATAAAACCTTTAAAAAAATTTATTTCCTGCCAATCATTTTGCCATGTATACGTGATATGTTATAAATAATGACAAAGTATATTCTTTATATTCTGACTTTTCTCTCAACACTATTTTGTACTTTCTCATGTCAGTAAATATTTCTGAAAATGTGACCCTTAAAAACTGCATCTACCACTGGATTATCATTCGTTTCACTATTCCTCTATTATATGGCATTTTGACTATTATAAATTTTTCCCTACTATAGTAACAAACTATATAAATTAATCCTTTTTATGTATAAAGTTCTACACTGCTGTGTTAGAATTCAAAGTGATAACTAGTATATACAGTAATAAAGCGTGGAGCACTTCACTTCTCCCCAACTCACAAATTCTACTGAGCAATGATCATTAATCTGGGGTATTAAACAAACAAAGAGGAAGTTTTTTTTATCAACTTTCCTTCAGTCAGTCTCATCTTCCACATCTGGTAAGAAAGAGGAAAGCCCCAAGATAAGTTTCTGACATCAGAGAGGACAAGAATAACAAGTCAATTTTCCTGCTAGAGCCACTTTTGTTTTCTACTTGGAATAATGAGCCATCAATTTAAATAGGAATGATACAAGATTTGTAATATACATCTCTATCTGAATCAGTGCTTAAATCTAGGTTTCCATAGTAGGTAGACTGTTTAGAAGAATTCTGGAAACAAAAAGGTAGTGTAAATATTATCACTCAAATGAAAAAATAAGGGTTTTTTTTACAATTCTGCCATGATTTTTATTATTTTTGAATGAATTAATAAATGTCATATACTCTTTCCTTCTTATAGTTTTCCAATTATTCCAAATATTATTCAAGCTGCCATAAATAGGCCAACAGCTCCAGGAGCTTAAGAATCAATAACTATTTAAGCCAGTGGTAATTCATGTGGAAAAGTTCAGAACAAATCAGCATCAGCTTCTGGCTCTCTTGCACAAACAAAAAATTTACATCGCTTCACCGATTTTCAAAAGTGTAAATTTGTGTACATAAATTTAAAACTCAGACCAAAATTTACTCTTATTTCTATTGGGCCGGTGTCAAGATCAATTAATTTTCCTAAAAAGTACATTCTTTAAAAATTCCACAGTGAAGTCTGTATTTAATCATTTAGAAAAAGAAAATTATATAACATATATATAATGATGATGATGGCATGATATATACTAGTCTGGACTCCTCCTGAGAGCTGCAGTTCAAAGGGAAATTGTGAAAATGAAGTAAAAGTTGCCCAAAATGTTTAATTCTGGCCAAAATAAAACAAAGTTCCAATAAAAGAAGCCAAATACAACCTTTTGTTTCATTATAAATTCAAACAGGGTTCAAATAGCTCAGAAATTCTGCGTACTTAAGTTTTCAAAAGCTGGATTCCCAGAACTATCTACTCTAAACATAAACTGAGTAACTTGCCCAACAGTCCTTACTTATTACCTAATCTTAGGTCCCCCAGAGACTACTTTTTACAATAATCTCAAATGTACTACAATAGATTAGTGTAACCTGGGCTACGCTGTTTACAGGTGTCTCCGCCTCCTTCCCCCAAGAGGAGAGAAGAGGTAGATTAGGGCAAGCAGAAAACAGAGACTATATACACCAAACAACAGCTTGCAATCTTGTAAAATTGCTTCTTACACACTTGGGCTATTATTTTAATTAACGTACAATGCATTTGAAAGAATAACATATTCACGGAGTAATACAATTTCTGTCCTCACGAGTCTCTAGCTGGCTGACACGCGTTTTCTCCTCAAATAAATACATGCCTGTTGACTGATGCCTTTCCTGCTGTTGCAAACAACAAATAACTGTCCTGTAAGACAAAAACCCTTCTCTAAGCCTCCAGGCGTAACCATACGTTTGAATTAAAAGCACTCTGGAACAGTAACAAAAATCTTCCAGCACATCTGTCATTTAAAAGCACGATCATGAAAAGCTGTCGCTGCGACCCAGTTTTGGGTCACAAGCTTTTTTCTTTTTTCTCCTCCCTCCCTCAAAGCGATAAACTTCAAAGGGAATGGTGGCGACCAGGAACGTCCCCCCCCCCGCCCGCAAAAATAGACACACACACACACACACACACACACACACACACACACAAAATGCAACTGACCAACTTGAATTCACGCTAACCCGACCCGTGCTGGCCGGGGTTGGCTAAGCAGACCCCCGGGAGGAAAATCGGGCCTCTGGGGGCCCGCAAGGCTCCCGCTGCTGCCTGTTTAAAATATCGAGCAGGTGGGATTCCGGAAGGCCACCTCCGTCTTACGTAACGGGCTTGTCAAAATCCCAGCTCAGGACCTCCCCTCTCACCGCCCCCGCCCCCACCCCACCCCCACCTCCCAACAACAAGAGCCCCAAACCAGCCCGGAATAGAAAATCTGGAAAGAAAACACCAGAGCCCCCCACGCGTCCGACACAGAGGTGCGGGCGCTACTCTCAGCACCGCCGCGCCAGCCCAGAGCGGACCGAGCCCGCGGAGGACCGCCCGGCTCTGAGAAGCCCCCGGGCGGAGGTCGCGGCCACCCGCGCCACCTCTCCGAGCCCTGCCGACCCCGCTCCCGCGACCACGGCTGTCACCGCTCCGGGCCGTGACAGCTCCACATGCCACCGCTGTCCGCGCCGCCACCCCCGCACTCACCTCACCGCTGGCTCCAGCGCGAGCAGTGGGTCGAGCTTGGAGAGTGGTGCCCAGTCCCCTCCCGACGGCGGCGGGACACGAGGGGCTGAATGCCGCGGCGCTCTGAACCCGCTTAGCTCATCCCCAGCCCGGCGCTCCGCCCTGCGCGGCACCCCCGCCCGCCCAGGCCTGCCGTCTCAGTCAGACGGGACTCCCCCTCCCCTCGCAGCAGCCGCTGCCTCCGCCTCCTTCTCTGGCTCCAGCCGCTGCGGCCGCCGCCACTGCGACTGGTGCCATCTTGGCAGTGACGGAGGGGGCGGGGGCGGGGATCGCTGCCCACAAGCGCCAATCGCGAGCCAGGCCCAGCCCCAGGGGGCGGGGCGATACCGGGTTGAGGATTGTGGGGTCCTAGCGCCTGACTCTGAGCTGGGCGGAGAAGGTGGGCGGGGCTGAGCCGCCCTGGCCCGTGACGCGAGCAGTAGTTGGGGAAACGCGCGCTGGTTCCCCCTGCGGTCGGGAGATCCCGAGCCTGAGGCGGGCGTGGGTGAGAAACACCTTCCCTTCCCCTTTCACCACCCCGAGGGTCAAGGATCGTCTTGGGCCAACTGACCTGCTTCCTCCTTCCTCCCCAGCAGACCTGACAGTCCTGACATTGCCAAGCCAGAGCACCACGCGTCAGTTTGAGCGGCAGCTCCTACACCAAGGGCGCTCAGAATCCCCCAGGAAACCCCCTGAGGGGTTAGCAACCCGCTAGTAGGTTTCGGTCCCAAGATACTGAAGGTCAGGTAAAATGGGGAATTCAGGGGGGTTCTCTGAAAAGTACGTTAATTAAACTCCTATTGTTGACTGGAGGGGTGTCGATTACATTGGATTAATGGGATATGGCCTACTTAAACCTGGCTATGGCTCCACCATTAGTGGCTGTTGGCAAATTGCCTCTGAGAAATGAGAGTAATAAAGGTTGATTACAGCAACAGGTTGTTCTGAGGTTAAATTGTATAATACATGTGAAGTGCTTAGCGTAGTTCCTGAAAGTACTCAATGAATGTTAGATATTATTCCATGGTCAGATGAAGGAAGAAATAGGACCCTAAAAGTCCCTGTGGTTTGAAATCCACTTTCTCAGTTGTGCGGAATAGGCATTAATCCCTTTTACTAACCAAGTTTACAGCTCTATTTCCTATCTCCATTTCTTCCATTGTATTCATTCAGTCAGTCAACAAACATTCATTGAAACGCAAATGCTGAGGGGACGCAGCCTTGAGGGAAACAGAAAAAGGTCTGCTTTCATGGAACTGACTATTTGGGAAAAGGGACAATAAATACTTCACACATTTTGGAGGAAAACGTGTATAAAGGTTCTGAACAGAATTCTGGGAGAGCAGATAATAGGATAGGTTAAAAAAAAAAAACAGTGGTCAGGAAAGGCTCATCTGAAGGGTGAGGAGTCAGTAATGTGAGAAATGCTCTGGGGAATTGTTTAAGGCAGAGGGAATGGCTGTGCAAAGGCTCTGTGGTAATAAGGACCTTGGCTATTAGAACTGAGTGGAGTCTGGTGCTGAGAAATCCAAGGTATAAAGGGGAGCCTGGAATGAGTCTGGAGAGGTGAGTGAGGGCCCATTCCCCCAGGGCCTAGGAAAATATAGAAACAAGATCAGATTTTATGGTAATAGCAACTGAAAGGCATTAGAGCAAGGAATTTGGGAACAGTGATGTTTTCAGTATGACATCTATGTCTATATTTTGGGCAACATATGGGCCAAAGAACTGGATTTCAAGTAAAAACAAAAAGAACCTGAGGTTGAGCCTGTTCAGCACTAAGTTGGTCAAATTGTATGTTCTGATCTTCAGTTTCCTTGTTAAAAATGTATGAGCATCAGTCACATAAGACTGTATACAGAAAAATACTTTCACTGAAAATTGTTAAATAAGTTGTTTCTAAGTGTTTTGAATGTCATGTTAGTGTCATTTATAGTTGCCTAATCGGTGCTATTTGATAAGTACATTTAGTGGTGTGGGGTTTTTTTTATTTCAAGTGGTAATCCAAATCAGTCATTCTTAACCATTTTTGTACAATGTGCTACTAAGAAAAATAATATGTACTCTTATAAGCATGTAAGTTTTTTTTTTATTTTATTTTTAAGTAACCCCTACCCCCAACATGGGGCTCGAACTTACAACCCTGAGGTCAAGAGTGGAATGCTCTACCAGCTGAGCCAGCCAGGTGCCCCATAAGTGTGTAGTTTCTTGATCTTTTAGTTCCAAATATATTTTTTTAAGTGCTTAGCTGTGCATTTTCTAGTGAAATTTGCTATGAAGACATGAATTTTTATCTTTTTATTTGGATAAAACATACATAACATAAAATGTACTATTTTTAACTATTTTTAAGTGTATAGTTCAGTGGCATTAAGTATATTCACATTGCTATGCAACCATCACCAGGACTTTTTCATCATCCCAAACTGAAACTCTACCCAGTAGTAAACAATAACTCCTATTCTACTTTATAAAACATGTATTTTTTTAAAAGGTATCAGGTGAGTTTCCCCCTCCCCCCACAAAATGGTAAATGAGTTTGGTGATCAGTAGGATTGTTTGCTCCCATTGAAGGGTTCAATGGACCATTCCATGTAAGTTTAGAAACTACCACACAAGAAATAAGAATTAGTATAAGTTTTTAGCTCAGATGGTTAACACATAATAATGAGAAGTACTAATATAGGACCAATTAATTTTTAGCACTGAAAAATTGTGTTCTTTGACCATAAAATGTGCTCTATGGTCTTATAAATGTTTACTCCAAAATGGCCCAGACAACATGCCCCTTCATTTACATACAACTACTCTAAAAGCATGTCTACTTGATACTATTAATTTTCATTAAAAAATAAGTGATTACAGCTCTGGATAAATTTAATTTTAAAAATCACTCTGGTTGTGAGGAATGGTTTAGAAAAAGGGCAAGAAAGAAGGAAGCAAGTTTTTGCCACACTTCAAATAATTAAATATTCGATAAAGTTATGAAGATCAAAAGATCAAGATTGTTTTTGGCTTGAAAATACTGTGAGTCAATAACTTTATTTTATTTTTTTTTAAAGATTTTATTTATTTTTTTGAGACAGAGAGAATGAGAGACAGAGAGCATGAGAGGGAGGAGGGTCAGAGGGAGAAGCAGACTCCCTGCTGAGCAGGGAGCCCGATGCGGGACTCGATCCAGGGACTCCAGGATCATGACCTGAGCCGAAGGCAGTCGCTTAACCAACTGAGCCACCCAGGCGCCCTCAATAACTTTATTTTTAAGCACATCCTACATGCAGTGTTTTAACTCCATTAAGCCAAAAGCTAAATATCTTTGCCAGGCTGGACCCTTCTTCCTGCTGCCCATGTCATCCACAGTGTTTTTATTCCCAACATGAGGGCCTGGCTATAGGCCAGTCAGTGATTGCAAGGGAGAGATTATGGTATATGGGGCCACAAGAGAATTTGGGGGGATGATGGATATGTCCATTATCTAGACTGTGGTGATGGTTTCATAGGTGTATACCTATGTCATACTTACCAAGTTGCACACTTCAAGTATGTGTAGTCCCCTATATGTCAATTATATTTCAATAAAACTGTAAAAAAAATTAAAGTCCAATTGCACACTTCCCATTCTTTCCCCATTGGATGCAGATTTAGCCTTTCATCGGATTTAATCCCTGTGAGGCCTATCTAGTCAATTCTTCTTTGAGGAACAACAAAAAGCACTCTTTTAATTGGCAAAAAAAGATACAAATATTTTATCTACATTTGCCAATTAAAATATTATGGGCATATAGGGGCGCCTGGGTGGCTCAGTAGGTTAAGCATTGGACTCTTGGTTTCAGCTCAGGTCATGATCTCATGGATGGCAGGATTGAGCCCCATGTGGTAGGGCTCCCTCCCTGTTCAGCAGGGAGTCAACTCCAGATTCTCTCCCTCTTACCGCCCCACTCCTGTGCGCAAACTCTCTCTCAAAAAAATGTATCTTTAAAAAAATAAAATATTATGGACATATAGTTACAAGCATTGTTTATAGACTGGGATACTAAAAAGTTTCAAGGGGTGCCTGGGTGGCTCAGTTGGTTAAGCGACTGCCTTCAGCTCAGGTCGTAATCCTGGAGTCCTGGGATCGAGTCCCACATCGGGCTCCCTGCTCAGCAGGGAGCCTGCTTCTCCCTCTGACCCTCCCCCCTCTCATGCTCTCTCTCTCTCTGTCTCTCTCTCAAATAAATAAAATTTAAAAAAATAAAAAATAAATAAAAATAAAAAGTTTCAAAAGTTGAAAAAGTTTGAAGTTTTGGGGTTTTTTTAAATCAAAGAACACTTTTTTTTTTTTTCAAAGAACACAGTTTCTGAAAGAACATATTAAAAAGCAGTAAAGGGGTGCCTGGGTGGCTCAGTCGTTAAGCGTCTGCCTTTGGCTCAGGTCATGATCCCAGGGTCCTGGGATCAAGCCCCGCATCGGGCTCCCTGCTCCTTGGGAAGCCTGCTTCTCCCTCTCCCACTCTCCCTGCTTATGTTCCCTCTCTGGCTGTGTCTCTCTCTCTCAAATAAATAAATAAAATCTTAAAAAAAAAAGGCAGTAGAAAAACAATAAGTAGTATTTGACTGTATTCTTAGGAAGTGCCTTTAAATACCTCAGAGCCCTTAACAGTCCTATCTTAAGTTCTCTTAACATCCCACGCATAGGTCACTGTAGTCACAGTTAAACAAACTTAAACCCTAAATGTGATTTGGGCAAGGGAGTAACAATGCAGACATGGGCCACATAGAAAAATGTGGCTCAGACGTTTGGACCTCATGCCATTTCTGAAATTATGCCATTTTTTATACCTGGAACTGTATCTGGTTATTTCTTAAAAGTTATTTTTAAATATTATGGTTTGAATGGGGCATGAAGGAAAACTTTGAAACCAGTAACAGTTTAAAGCACTGGAAGCTCAAGCTGTTGCACAGCCTAATTCTCTCCACCTGTTAAATCTATTCACCTTTAATTGCTATACCAGAAGTTTCCCACATCTTTAAATGAAAACCTGGAGCCTTCTATAAAGTGGTGTTGATATCTATGCCACGGGGCTTCCTTATGGGTGAGAAAGCCTTCCACCAGGGATTTATCATTCTTTAGAAACTCTTTGGATGGGGCGCCTGAGTGGCTCAGTCATTAAGCATCTGCCTCCGGCTCAGGTCATCATGATCCCAGGGTGCTGGGATCGAGCCCTGCATGGGGCTCCCTGCTCCGCGGGAAGCCTGCTTCTCCCTCTCCCACTCCCCCTGCTTGTGTTCCCTCCCTCGCTGTGTCCCTCTCTGTCAAATAAATAAATAAAGTCTTAAAAAAAAAAAAAAAACTCTTTGGATGTGTCCCAAAGCGGCACACGTTGCCAGATTCTATTCATTGTGCAACGGTGTTAGAATGACACTCTAGTGTATTTAATCCACAAACTGAAATTTATTAGAAATATGGTCAAGTTATCAACTTATTTCTTAAAAACACAAATCGGGGGGCATCTGGGTGGCTCAGTTGGTTAAGCGACTGCCTTTAGCTCAGGTCATGATCCTGGAGTTCGGGATCAAGTCCCACATCGGGCTCCCTGCTCGGTGGGGAGTCTGCTTCTCCCTCTGACCCTCCCCGCTCTCATGCTCTCTCTCTCTCTCATTCTCTCTCTCTAATAAATAAATAAAATCTTAAAAAAAAAACAAATCAGATGAAATACTTTTGAAAGACAAATTATCTGAACAACTCACAAGAATAATAG